TGTTTGGAGTGTGAGCATTATAAGTTTTGAGTGCAAGAAGATGAAATCCTTTTCTCAAATTGAAATTATGTGCTCTTGCATTATGGCAGGATAGTTCTCCCATACGTGTGCGCTAACCACTGCGCCACCAAAGCGCGCCCCAGGATCAAGATTTTGATGCTAGAACGTCTGGAAAATGTAGAAAGCTCTGGATCAGGTAGTTTCAGCCTAACCTTCTCCACAGCTCGGCTGTTGATCAGCGGCCCTTGTGTTGTGTTCGGCTCTGATCCGTGACCCAGACGGAGCTCGGCGTCCATTGCCCGACCCAACTTGTCCACAAAGCGGTCGTAGATTCCGCTCTGAACCAGGAAGCGGTTGGAGCACACGCAGGTCTGAGGGGACATGAGGAACGGTCAGCGTGTTCGGCCTCAGGGGAAGCAGCACGCACGGATTCTCTCCCCTCACCTGCCCGGAGTTCCTGAACTTGGAAGCCATGGCTCCACCCACTGCACTGTCGACATCTGCGCTGTCAAACACGATGAAGGGAGCATGGCCGCCGAGCTCCATGGAAACCCTCTTCACCGTGTCGGCAGCCATTTTCAGCAACACCTGGGATGAGAGAAGAGGAATGACTCGGTGTCCCGGAGTCGGTTCCGGCCGAACGGGCTCCGGTCTCTGAAGGATCTCACCTTCCCGGTGGCCGTGGATCCAGTGAAGGAGATTTTTGACACCAGTGAGTCCGTGCAGAGGACGTGTCCAACCGCCGGGGTCTTCTCTCTGGAGCAAGGAACCACGTTGACCACGCCTGGAGGGATCCCCGCCTGCTCCGCCAGCTGCAGGAAACAGGAAGCGGCATGAATGAGCTTCAGGTTCTGGAGAAGGAATCTGAGGATGGATCAAAAGCTGGTCTGAACCAGATCAAACCAGAACAGGAAGCTGACCTCAGCCAGAGCGAGAGCCGACAGCGGCGTGTCCTCGGCCGGCTTCACCACCACGGTGCAGCCGGCAGCCAGAGCGGCTCCAACCTTCCTGGTGATCATGGCGCTCGGGAAGTTCCACTGAGGAAAAACCAAGAACACGTTTTCACTTTGGAAGAAGGAAGCGGTCCGTCATCACTCAGACATCTCTCTCCTCCTGGATTCAAAGTCAAGCTGAGGTTCAACCATCTTCTTCTGCTGCGCTGGAGAGGAAACATCTAAATCTGGGTGGAAACCAGCTGCCCACAGCTTCCAAAACCTAAAAAAAAAAAAGGTCTCCTCTGATTTTATGATTTGATTCCGTCTCTTTGAATGAAGACCAGCTGGTCTTCATCACAACCAGAAGATGCTGCTGCTCGGTGTTTAATAAAGATCACACAGAGGTTGATCTTTATTAAACTGCTGCTCTTTAAAGACCTTAAAGAATCAGAAACTGGAGCATCTGGAAAAAACTCCCCTTAAATCTAGGGCTGTAACAACGAATCGATAAAATCGATAAAAATCTACTTTTAAAAGCGTTGGCAACGAATTTTATCATCGATTAGTTGTGTCGCGCGATTAATGCGTCATCCGCCGCCGCCATCATCAGCGCCGCAGGTGCAGTGTTGCCAACTCAGCAACTTTTCAGACCCCTCCAGCGACTATTTTTCAAAAAAGCGAATAGCGACAAATCT